GCCCCCTTACCCCGTTACGCGGCAATGCACTTCCGGCTGTGCAAAATTCGGCAAAAAGCTCTCCGGGACTCTGTCTGGAAAGCTGAGTAAAAATCTGTGTCACTGCTTTGTCTCTTGACGTTCCTTAGTCGTCGTTTATCCCCGTCAACCGACGTCTCGGATCTACGTATAAACAAAAGGTCGGTACGTTCTCTGATACGGTAGAAATTCGCGTTTCTATCGCGTTCGGGACAAGTATTCACGTATCATTCACTTGCGCTTTCGTTTTTCACCTTCGTGATGATTTCATCGGAATTTCCGTTCGCTAATAAAAATACCAAACAAAACATACGTTGATTTTTCGGTTAACAATTGACCACTGTATATTTAATATATATGTATGAATTATGCGAATTTCGAATATTTGATGGGTGTGGCAGACATAAATTGAAAGAATTTGTGATATTGTTTGGCTTTAATTTAATACAGATTGAATAGTTTAATCTTTATGGACATGAAGGTAAAACACTCTGCTATTGTATGATCAACACTTTGCGTAACAATCAAAGATGTGAAAGTCTTAAAAGTTTATAAGAGTTGGGTTGCCTTAACATTAACACATAACCCTTCTTATTTCACTGACACATACAGTCTTCTCTTCATTTGCATTGCTTTCGCATTACTAGATAATATTTGATGCTAAAGTCCATGCTTTTGTGCAAAATTTTACCAAGTGCTTTTAATTTCTGTAACATGAAACAATAACATTTCAGAAACAATATGCCAGAAACACATTGTGCTTTTTGATTCATACAAGAACTGAGCTAGAAACTTCCTTTGTATATTAACAAGTATAATCTGTGTAAAACATAAGTAATAAATATCTAAAAGTAATGAAAGTGTACATTAAAATATATTTTTATTATAATTAAAAAATTTTATAAAGCATTTTATCTGTGTGCAATGTGAATGTATTGCCTATTATATTTAATTTATGCTTCTCAAAAATAATTTTTGATGGGTACACATATTTCTTAATAGTGCATGTTTCATACAAAGAAGTATCAATCTTATCTGTTTAAGCATGTTCTTTGGAAACATCGTTATTTTGTTCTAGAGCATAAGGTATTGTCTTACATATGATGAAATAGTATGTAAGAGTCTCTTACAAGAGTTGACCAATTGATTAAACAATTTACATAATACATCCCTTATTTTAATACAGAATTATTAAACAAAGACTCTATCTTATGCATTCAAGAATTCTGTAATCTTTGATTTAAATGTGTACATGAGGTCATTATGATAACATTATGATAACACTATAATAACATTAAATCCACATTATATTTAGTCTTTGGCATTCTTGCAAAGCCTTGTAGTATATACATATTTTCATATATCGGAAGGAAAGAGTTATGAATCAAAATTGCAAAGGCATCATTCAGTGATTATAGATTGTATTTAACACTTTTACAGATATTTAAGTATATAATTTTTATAGAAACGAGATATATGCATATATATTTATATGCATACATATGATATCTGTGTGGTACATGCAATTATCTCGCAGCCTTTTATCCATTCTAACATGTAAAATGTCCACTTAAAGCAGAGACGCTGAAAGAAAGACTAAAAACATGGGATGCAATACGGGCCGATGCCTCGGTCCAGACAATACGGGGTACCCTGGATCAGGTACGACCCAATCAATATCCTTTAAATCTTCAGCCCTCGTAGGTTGCTTTCTAAATAGTTCTAAAGTAGACATGAAATATAGAGACAAAACAAGTCTTACCTATCATACCCACTATATAAGTAGCTGGCAGTAATGAAGTTAGAAGCAATTTTTAGTAATGTAAATTTAAGTAAACAGAGGGCTGTAGGGAGTGTATGCTATTATATTTGTAATGCTAGTACCAATTTAGTACTCTGTTTAAAAACAAGTGAATACAATACTTTCAGGTGACAAATTTTATACCCTACGAGGTTTGAATTAGAGTCATTGTTTATAGCATTATCAGAAAGTGAATCTAATTAAACAGTTTCAAAAGATTACCCTGACTTCTTCCTAACTCTATCCTGAAGAATGCTTTTTCTCAGTCTGTTTCATTGTTTCTTTCATACCTCTACATTTGCACTGAAATCTACCTATTTAAAATTGCTTTCTACTTATTTATGCCTTATCAGGGTGCAGGAGAAGCAGTTTCTGTTAACAGTAATATTGATTACATTTCTTCGATACTCCTTGTGTTTCCCATTAAGTTGTGATTATCTTATCTTATGTGTATTATATGCTCACTCGCTGCATGCCCTTAGTTAAACTAATTTTAGGTGGTGTTTCCCAGATGATGTCATTCGAATTGATTTAGATTCATTATCACCAGTACCTAAATAGTTTTTAAGGTACTCCTTGCATCTATACTGTATGAAAATGCAGTTTAGAGTTTGTTAATATAGAGAGTATGATCTTCACGCTAGTGTTTTGTAATTTATGAATTTTTCATATATATACATAATATGTATATACATACATTGATATATGTATGTGTATGTGTACATAGAATAAAAGCACTAGAAGTTAGGTGTGCATATTATGTGTCAAAATTAAGTGTATGTGCTCTGTATATATTAGCCATTATTGGCAAAGAAAAATAATAATTGTCAAAATTAAATTCAATTCATTGTAAAAAAACAATTATGTCATACAAAATTGTAGTATTATTTGTGCATAGGTAAGTTATCAGGAGAATATTAATATGGATGTGTACTTCTTACTTATAACAGTTATTAAAAGTGATAGTCAAGGCATCTAAAAATCAATAAAAAATTCGTTACTAATGTAAAATGAATGTGTACTTCTTGCTTTGCATTAATAGATATACATTGAAGATCAGAGTTACATGCATAAAGTTCTAATTTTAATGGTACAAAATATACTGGAGTGTTAGTAAGTAAATATGTAATAATTTACATTTTAGAATTCATGGCAGCCATTAGGAAGAAATTGGTTATTGTGGGTGATGGTGCTTGTGGTAAAACATGCTTACTCATAGTCTTCAGCAAAGACCAGTTTCCTGAAGTATATGTACCTACAGTGTTTGAGAACTATGTTGCAGACATTGAGGTCGATGGAAAGCAGGTGGGTACTTTGAATAATTGTTTCATATACTTAATATGCTTTTTATTTACTTTTAAAGGTGTTAAAAAAAACATTCTCTACAACAGGTGGAATTGGCACTTTGGGACACAGCTGGGCAAGAAGATTACGATAGGTTGCGTCCACTGTCGTATCCCGACACAGACGTAATCCTAATGTGCTTCTCCATCGATAGTCCCGATTCCTTGGAGAACATTCCCGAGAAATGGACACCAGAGGTGAAGCACTTTTGCCCAAATGTGCCCATTATCCTTGTTGGAAACAAAAGAGACTTGCGCAACGATCCTAATACCATCAAAGAACTTAGCAAGATGAAACAAGAACCAGTTAAGCCAGAAGAAGGTAGAGCTATGGCCGAAAAAATCAACGCTTTTGCTTATCTTGAATGTTCTGCTAAGAGTAAGGAGGGTATTAGGGAAGTATTTGAAACAGCCACTCGGGCAGCGCTACAAGTAAGTATTGATTATTTCAGGTATTCCTGGAAATGAATTTAAACTTGAGCAGACGTTATTAAAAAAATTATGTGAGTTCGTAGGTGAAGAAGAAAAAAAAAGGAAGATGTTGGCTACTTTAATTCTTGAACTCAATATACGAGATGTGGAAACTAAGGGGATTGGATAACGGCTGACTGCAATGAAGCTAGTTGTTATTGCTGAAGGCCCCCAGCGGAAACCATAATATAATAATAATAACAACTTATCTTTAATTATTTTACACAATAAAACAAATCTATAAAAAAATGAAAAACAACCACAAAATGCGCCCGCAATATATTGAAAAAAAAACTGTCATCAATAAAACCGGAGACTTAAACTATTGACTAAATTCAATACAAGTATATGTGCTATATATGAGAAACCATAATGTATATTGTAATGACTACTTGATTGTATTTTTTAATGGTAATGAATTGTGCTTCGAGTTTAAACAATTAAACAATTGTCATACCAACTACTTACATTTACGGTACATAATTATCTATATCATTATAGCAATTATTACAATTATTATTAGTATCTCGTTACTATTATATGCATTCTACATCCTTTTTCTTTTTTTTTCTTTTTTTTTTAATCGTAGTGAGTTGGGGGAATTCGTAACAAAGTATAAAGAGAGAAAAGGGGGAGAGTAAAAACGTAGTACGCAATGCAAAGTCATAGAAAGCAATGTAAGAATTTAAAACAATACGTTAAGAATTCCAAATGTTGCGTCGCTATTTTATTGAACCATCGCATTATCTCTATATTTCTCAAACAAACAAAAAAAAAAAGTAACAAACGTTATATTATATTATAAAATTGCGTAAGTAGACCAGCGGATCACTTTGATCTTTAAGATACCAACTAGGCTAAATGTACTATATTATATTTATGTATTTCGACAACACATCCCTTGTATCCAAAACAATGCACACGAACGATGTCCTGGTTTGCGTTCTATTACGCGATATTTCTTTTTGCAAATTATCCGACGTGATCAATGTAATCGGGGAATGTTTAATAATTGTTAATTTAGGGCGAACAAATTTCACAGAACATGTTGATTTTTATAGTGATAATTGTGTGTGAAACACGATGCTTTCCAACAATATTTCGATTGAAAGTGATTATGTGTTCTTCAAAAACATCGATTAATTTATGAGTTTCTAGTTACCTTTGTAAAATGATTATCGAGCCTGTTAAGTCATCCTATATTTTTTTCCTCCCTTTTATTTTTTTTTTTTGTTCTCTCATTTGTACACATACTATTCTAAACTTTTAATCTTGCGCGTCTTCTATTAAAACTAATCTATAAGGTTCATAAGGTAGTTGTTTTTTGCAAGAACTATTGAATTAACGACTGCAATGCAGTCTTGGCCATTGATTTAATGAATGACTGTGGAATTGTGTTCAACAAACTTTTTTTAACGATTAGCAATACTACTGTTGAATTACGCTTTTAACCGGAACTCCGTAAGGTTGCAGTCAAATTTTGCAACGGTCTGAAATTTTATTTACCAAAAATTAAAATGGATGTGCCGATTTTTCTATCATTAAAAGGGCAAATATCGTTGATTAACTGTTCGAAGCACAAACTTAAATCGAAAGATCAATGAAGAGTAAAATTATGTATAGCATACAAATAAAAATATGCTGTTTACAAACGAATTGTAATCGTGAAAAAAGTTTCAAGATCTAAAAAGCATTACCTTTGCAAATCAAAATCCGTTGCAAAGTTTGCAAGTGTTCTTTTATAATGATTTCTGAAGGATGTACTGTTAATTATGACTGTATCAGTTAATCCTTTATGGACTCTTTCTCTAATGCTGCAATAAGTGCGATCGTGTTTTCAGATGAAATAAATTGCTAAAAGATTTGTACAAACACTACCGCAGTTTTTATAAAGATATGCTATGAGTCACAAAAGATATCGATATATCGACTGTTTTTTCTTAACGATTATGTACTGTCTTGATCCTTGTCAGAAAAGAACAGTTGTTCATATTCTATTGTACAGAAGTCTTTGAGACTGAGTTCTCAGTAATATGCTTTAATCAAAAGAAGAAGAAAAAAGAAAATAAAATAAGCAATCTAATCACACTGTTTTGTGAGAGATTAAGTATTGTTAAGTGCACAAGATTGTGACGTAAGATTGAAATATTTAAAGTTCCATCTATGATGAGGATCAAAATGGTAATGTAATATTCGTATATGTCATAGCATCTATTAAATTCATTATCGTGTACGTAAAACAAGTAAGTGATAAAGAGAACATTTTGTTGTTTCACATGTACATGTTTGGTCCATATAGGATTAAAGATTGTACATAAACTATCACCGTTCTTGGAATAGATGAGGTATTATGCCTTCATGAGTGTCTCATGATTTTCTTAGCATTTCTTTATCTCTTTCACGATATATGAAACAGCAATAAAAATACGAACTGCTTTATCTTATTTTCTTACGACAATGTCGCGAGCAATATATGCATATATACACGTATGGTAAGCGTATCACGTCACTTTGATTTCAAGCATCGAAAGGACATACTTGTGCACATGAAGAAAGAAATAGCGAATACTATTTTCTACATCTCCGCAGTCCCGTATGAATAGAGATGTACGACGTTGTAATTCGTCGTGTAATTAATGAATTTTACGAAGATACTTCCAGAGGCAAGAATTTAACCATTTGTATGTAGTAGTTTTTCAGTGATACCGAAGTGGGAAAGAAAAGAACATTTTTTACGATTAGGAGAATGAAGTCAAGAGTAAGTTCTTTGAGTTCTAACAATTCACTCTATCATTAATTAGCCTTATTATATATAAGATATTTACTCCATGATTGCTATAATAAATTGTAATTAACAATAAAAATTACTTATCACTATTTGAGAAATTGCAATTTCTGAAAGGGTTTAATGTATAAGGGCAAATTTATATATACAAACGTAGACAGTAAAGATCCTGTGGAACTTGAAAGGAATCTGTGAAGGTACACGAATACTTCAAATATATCGATCGTACAGTGAAATTTTCATTTACAAGTTTTATTGAACAAAATTTTTCCTTTGTTTGAAAATGTTAGTATTTCCTAGAAATCACATATTAAGGAGTTTTTAAAACTAAGATCACTTCAATTACAAATATCATTAGCTTCAGTGCCCGACGAAATTTCATATAAAACAATTTATTTTGTTTATGGTATAAACAAAAAGAAAATTCATGCACCGTAGTTTCGTCTTAGTTATAATCAAATATGAAAAATGGAATGGAAACTTCTATCTTAGAATATAATTGATAAAATCTGGAAAACTTTGACATGATAATTCTAAATCAGTTCTGCATTGGTTTTACATGATATACATTATTATAAAGTTACATAATACATATAGACAATCCTATCCTAATTATACTTCACTTTGCTTCCAAATGCTCTGTAAAATAAATGCAGTACGCGTTATTGAAGGTATTCTATTTCTTTCGTTCAATTGTCTCTGGTACTAGAAAAATTTTTTAGCCTTTACATTTTTAATGTTACCTCACTTTCGTCACACTCATAAGTCACACAAGAAAAATTTCACTCCAGGTTTTGCTGCTGAGACATATTATAAAAAATGTAGTAAACAATCCCGTATCGGATATGAGGAAAATTTACAATTCATCGCTCTTCGGCTTCACAGGCTTGCCCTTGCGATCAAATCCTTTAAGCTCGTTAGTCGCGTGCTTGGCAATATACTTGATGAAGTCGTCGAGTTTTCTGCCACCTTCGTATTTTACAGGACTGTTCTTGGAGTCCTTTGCGGTGGCATCGCATTTCACGATCTCAACGTCTTCATCTGCAAGTTTATCGCCCAATTCATCGTAAACAGGTGCCAATTTCTTGCAGTGACCGCACCAAGGAGCATAAAATTCGATCAATGTATCTTTGCCGTTGTTTGTAACAATATCATCGAAGTTTCGGGCTACTGCGACCTTAACATTTCCAGTGTTATCTTCAGGAATTGCCTCAGATTTCAGATAAGCTTCCAGAGAATCTGCTTCCAAATCCTTCAAGAACTTTTCGAATGCATCGACCGAAAATTCATCTTGCATAACGAACTTCTGATTCTTGGCATTCTTTGCCAGAACAACAGGCTTGTCGCCCTTAACAAAGTCAATTCCAAAATCGTTCAACTCATGTAGGAAGTCATCCTTGGAAGAAATGGCAAAGTTCAAATTGGGAAAATCTTTAGCAACTTTGATAATTCTGTTGCGCCAATAATTTGTACCCTTAGGATTCTTGACGTAATCCACGGCATAGTACGCAACAACCAATGGATTTTTGAATTCTGCAACATTGTCACGCGTACGAACACCGGCGATACCAAAGCTAGAATGAAAATTTAGTTAGAACAAACATTCGTGATTTAAATGTCGGTAAAAGCAAGTTTCTTGAAACTTACTAATTTTTATTAATGAATTCTTCAATATCACCCACAGACTCTTCATATTTCACAGTGCTTGCTTCAAATTTGTTTTGCAATACTTTTGGTCTATACAGAACAATGGTATTTCTGGAAATAAAACAGATACATTTAGTTTGTTTAATATTCAACTTAGATTAAATTTATAACAAAATTAATTAATTACTTGTGTCCCTCCTTTTCTAAAAGTGACTTAGAGGTTGTATGAGCAAATCTGACTTTTTCTTTAAGCTTCTTAGAAACAGCATGGAAAGATGTTGCCAATGATGAACTCTTTTCTTCAAAGAAACCAACAACACCTACTTCATCAGATTCCAAGAATGATTTCAAACAACTTTCTCCAGTTAATTCTTTGGATGCTGGACCAACTTGTGCCTGAAGCATATATATGTACGTTAATTATATGCAATATTCAATTTCATTTGCAAGATATAAAAATCCTTATATACCTTCATGTACTTAGCAATGCCTGCAGCTTCTCTAGGTCCATTGTAATCACTAACAAAATCAGCTCTAGAAAAGATTTTCAGTGTTGGGTAGCCACTGACAGAATATTTGTTGCAAGTGTCCTTTCCACTTTCTGTACAGTCTACTTTGGCAAGAGTAATTTGGGGATCATTGCCCAAGAGCAGTTCAGCAGCTTTTGCATATTCTGGCTTTAATCGTTTGCAATGTCCGCACCTAAAGAGAACATGGAACAATTATTTGTAATTTATGCGATCTTAGCGCAGATGAAAAAATAGATAACCTAAACATGCCACGAAATTATTTTTATATTCTGAACAGTTACGTAAGAACAACGCTTAAAAATATCATGGATCTGTTCGTGTAGAAATAATAGGCTACTTCGAATGTGACACGTTTTCGCTTCCTAATGTGTCACAAGCCGGTACTTGCAATCACCAAGACCGGAACTTAAAGAACAGTTCTTTTTAACCATTTTATCCCCGCAATTATAGCACAAACGATAAGATTATCGAGGAGAAGTAAATTTACCTTCCGGTTTCATACGTATATAATTAAACAAAGAAACTGCTTACCATGGTGCGTAAAACATAACAAGCGTGTTCTCGAGCCGCTCTAATTCATGGCTGAAAGTTTCGTCCGTAAGCTCCAACACGTCTTTTTCCTCGGCTAGGACGGTGACGAAGACCAAGAAAAGAAAGCTAAGGAACTTTGGTAGCATCGTGTATCACGGTGCTTCTTTCAAAATCAAATTCGAACCGTATTCTATCCCCAAAAGACACTGCCTGTCGGAGACGTGGCTTTTACAAGAAGTTAGCCAGGGTAGCCGCGCAGTGCTGTCGCTTTCTGATTGGTCCGTTCTGTTGGACAAGTGTGCAATGTATTTCTGTACACGTTACGTACACGTATACAAACGAAAGAGCAAGATTCCAACCGGGAAAAGAGTCAGCAGCAAGGTGCATTTCGTTGCGGTTTGTAGTGGGGGAAACTGGAAGAGAATTTTTAACGGTATTCTTGAAAAATTTCTTTCCGTCACTTCATCTTCAGTTTCGTATGGTCCCGAGGTCCCTTCGAGCGGCCAATGCGAACTACCTGTAACGTTTATAGTGTTTTGCCGCGTTTCCGGAGAACCATTCAAAATAGGGATGAACGTGAAATCGTCCAAAGTCGAAATTATCGCGTATCGAAGCATGAGTAAGCGGGATTCCTTAAACCAAGATAATTTATTAATAATATTTATTACTTTGTTGATTGTGGGGACAATAAAATCAAAACTTTACGGTTTTACAATGCCATGATTTATCTAGTTAAACAGGAAGTGGATAGATGTTACAAATAGATGTACATAACAGGAAGTAATACTGGATTTCCATGGCAAATATACTCGTTATAACGATAAGACGAATTGAGATGCTAAGAATTGATAACGCACGTTTTTCGAGTTAAGAAAGTATGGATAAATTCGTAGAAGAAACTCGTAAGATTTTCAAAATAACAAAAACGTAAGAGAAATATCCGAGTAACATAATATTATACTTGTAATGACATTTTAACAAGCATCGATACACTTCTAATTAGTATGGACCGATAACAATTATCGATATTTCTAGTTTTTCGAGGGATCCCCGACTAAATGATCACAAAGCGAAGATTAAATCAGCATCTGGAGTTTCCTTATGTAATGACGATCGATGTTTTCCTATTACAAAGCGTTCAAATCACTTGCGCAATAACATCGTGTAAATAATGATTGACAGTACGAGAAAAAAGGTTAACAATTAATACGACCTTTTTGTCAAAAGTAAACAAAGTTCAATTGTTGTTGCAACGTGAAAATAGAAATGCGTTAGAAATAATGGTAGAATAAGATAAAAAAATAATGTAACTTGATAGCAACACAATAATTTGGCATTTATATTGTTACTGATATCGTTTCTTTTTTTTTTTTGTACTCTAGTCGCTGTCGAATAATATTGAACAATTCAAGTACGCGAGAAGGCGTACGAAAATAGACGGGATAAATCATATTCCGAGGCACGCTCTTATTAAACGTTTAATGAATTACAATGGAGATCCTTTAACGTCAGCGAGCGATTGGTTGTCCGTGTCTAGCGTAGACATGAGTTTGCAGAAAAAAATGAAAAGTGTACAGCAGTCAGGATGGGGGTTCATTAAATATCACAGACAACAGAAGCAACATTTTGCCAGTCGTGAAACCGCTGTGCTGCTGTTTGCAACGAACAAGAAGAAGGATAAGAAGCTCGGTTATTCTTATTATTTAAGTAACGTCACACGAACGAGATCCTCTGGTTTTACGGTGAGTAGTTGCATAGTTGTTGCAGTGAAACTCGAGGGTAGCGGATGAATATTGCGACATTAAAATATTTTAATAATGCTGTAATTCTTGGTAAAAGTAAATAAGTAGATAATATGGAGAAAAGAAGCAAAATACATATGTATAATATTTTTTCTTCGTTTTTCTTTTCTCAATTTTTGTCTTCATTTTTCAATTTTTTATCAAGTTGGACTACTCTAGGTGAACGTTACGTGTACAAGAGTCATATTTTATTTATACGATCGCTTAAATGTTCCCTTGCATGTCTAGTTGATTTAATCAAGTGGCCGTGCGTCAGTAGCGATAATGCCAGGGAAAATGAATTAACGATAATATTTACTAAGCAAATCGATTGTTCCAGTTGGAATACTAATCGCGTGAAACGAATTTGATTTCGTCTAAAATAATGAAATACATACCGAGCTTGAGAATTCATTATCGGTGACCTTAACTTATGAATGAATGCTTACGTAAACGTCGTTATTTTTTAACAGTATCTATGTGCATAGATCTAATAAGTATCGAGTCCTTGTATTTTAATGTAAACGGTATGCAACAATGTCTGACGTTATTTACAAAACGCAACAAAGTGAAGAAGAGAATAGTGTTTTCAAGGATTCACGAAAGAATCGTTATATAAGTGGTACTATTGACACACGTGTCCCACGTGTTCTAATAATAAACGTCACTGACTTGAACGAACCACCGATAGAGAATTTTGGGTTAATTGTCATGCAAACGATTAATTCATAATTAAAGATACATACAGGTATATTCGATGTGCAAATCAGTTCTATTTCTAGCAGCATGACTCCATAAAATCACTTTACATAACCACTTTCGTTTAATTGTATCTTGTTAAGATTCCTAACTCTTTCGGGACAAGCGCGGGAAAACTACCTTCTACCGGTAACCCACTTCGACGTGTCATTGTGACTTAAAAATTCGAAGATAAAAATTGACGTCTGTTCGTAATGCACCGGTGCGGTTCTCGTCTCGTATGGGTTAATTGATTGTATCTATTCTTAAGTATGAGACTATTCAATACCAAATATCGCAAATCATCTAATCTATATCTAATCTAAAATCGATCGGTTTCGAAAAACCTACGAAATTCTGTTTGCACTTAATAAATTGTCTCTGAATTGTGCTTGATGAGTTTTCGATTGATAAATGAAAGTGGTGGGATGACGCACGAAAACCGCTGTTCGAGCTTAAAGGTTCAGTTGTGGCCCACCTGTCAGAGCGATAGGTCGACTGTATGCTTTTATCTCCCGATTCTTCGATAGAATCGAGATCATTTGGCTATTAGCCACCAGCATTTAAGCTTGCCTTACCTTGATACTTTAAAGTATCTATTTTTTATCTTTCAGTACGTTCGCTGGTGTATTTATTACGTCAACGCGTATTATTTATCCAGCGTTGTAAGTGGTAAGAAATTTGTAATTCCTTATGTGTCGTGTCATCGTGATTCGTTGATTCACTTTCTCCTTTACTGACCAGTTGCTTTACTTTCTATGTAGTTGACCTCGATTCCACTTTTCAAATAGAACTATAATAAATTGATACTTCGTTACCGTTCGAAACAATATGTTTATTACATAACATTTTATAAATATGTTTAGCATGTTTTGTTTAACTAAAACCAATGACACTTTCTAACATATGTATTTCGATTTTATGTGTTTTCAGCAACCTAAGCAACATGCCTTGCCCATTTTTAACACGTCTCTCTGCAAATTACATTCGCAATTATGGAGCTTCTGTAATAACAAATTACCGTCAGCTTTGCCCAGTGATGTCTCAGTTGTTTAGTACTGATACACAATCTACTAAAATGCAACAAATTGAAGAAACTATTAGTAATCAGTGCCCATTTCTTGCTGAAAAACAAAATGCAGTGAAAGTGGCTAGCCCTATGATTGAAGAGGATATTATTAATGTATCGAACCAAATTAATGTAGAAAAATCAAATTTCCCCTATGAAGAGTTCTTCCATGAACAAATCATGAGAAAGAAAAAGGATCATTCTTATAGAGTTTTTAAAAAAGTGAATCGGTTGGCAGAAAACTTTCCAACTGCAATGGAGTATTCTTGGGGGGAGAAAGAAATCACTGTATGGTGTTCAAATGATTATTTAGGAATGTCACGGCATCCAGCAGTGACTGATTCTGTTCAAAGAGCATTAGATAAGTTTGGAGCAGGAGCTGGTGGAACAAGAAACATATCTGGAAACTCTATAGGTCATGAAATGTTAGAGAAAAGACTTGCTTCTTTACATCAGAAAGAGGCTGGCTTATTATTCACTTCTTGTTTTGTTGCCAATGATTCCACTTTGTATACTTTAGCAAAACTTCTGACTGGTTGCCATATCTTTTCTGATGCTGGGAATCATGCATCTATGATCCAGGGTATAAGAAACAGTGGGGTGCCGAAGCATATTTTTAGGCACAATGATGTAAAACATCTTGAAGAACTTCTTTCCAAAGTAGATAAAAGTGTGCCAAAAATAGTAGCATTTGAAACAGTACATTCTATGACTGGTGATATATGTCCTTTAGAGGAATTATGTGATGTTGCACATAAATATGGTGCCTTAACATTTGTTGACGAGGTTCATGCTGTTGGACTATATGGATATTGTGGTGCTGGCATTGGAGAGAAAGAATTGGTACTCCATAAAATGGATATTATATCTGGCACCTTAGGGAAAGCATTTGGCAATATTGGCGGCTATATTGTTGGATCCGCAAAATTAATAGATATGATACGAAGTTATGCCGCTGGCTTTATTTTTACAACTTCGTTACCACCGACAGTATTATACGGTGCCTTAACAGCAGTTGAAATTTTAGCCTCGGACGAAGGAAGAGTATTGAGAGCTAACCACCAGAAAAATGTGGCTTATATGAAATCTATTCTAACTGATGCAGGTCTTCCGTTAGAACCGTCGCCCTCCCACATTATTCCCATAAAAGTAAATATTTTTTGTTACATTACATATATTTTTTATCCGTTTCTAATATTATTATATTTAATTATAATTGGGCATTATGTACAAGCAATCAATTATCCAACTGTTCCAAAGGGGGAAGAAAAATTAAGGCTAGCCCCGACACCAAAACACACTCGATCGATGATGGATCAATTTGTGAGAGACACTTTAGACGCATTTCATCGGCTAAATATACCGACAGTCCATAAAAGTATAAAACAATAAAATGTAAAGAAATAAACTATGAAAATTTTATACACACAAATTATTTTATGCGGATATTAATGCTATTCAAATATAAATGAAGATCAATCTGTAACTCACTAGTAATTTAATTTAATTGGTACTTCTAATCATTTCACGAATCAAAAAGTCATCCTTCTTATCTCTGGTACTTGAATTAAAACTACAGCTGATACAAGTATCACGCATGCGCGCAATTTCATACAACTTTCAGAGTTGACAGTGTCGTCTGCATTTGCATACGTACTCGGAACCGTGTTTGAATGAATACTTTTATTCAACTCCAAGTTACATTTCTAAAATGATACTTTGAATTACGTCGACATTATCAATGAAATCAATAAATAGCACTATTATCAAAACACATATAACGTGTATGTTCGAATGAAATGCTGATCGAAAGCTAAAATAAAGGTTAGAATGAGGGGTATCGTCAATATTTTGAAAATTCTCGTCGCCTTTTTTTATGACTATACACGAGGATTATGGTATACTATTACCACAATTTTGGTTCTGGGCTACTGTTTACATCCGGCTCGATTTGCTAAGCATTATACCTTCATAAAAGCAGAGGATATTTACAATGAAATGGAAAGGTCGTACCCAGCAAGAGATAATTCTTGCACGATTACGATCAATCCCCATAGATCATCCCACTTACTTTATCCTGAAGAACACCCTCGGGAAGATCCGGTGGCAATGGCACGGCGATTGGGTATATTACCTGGAGGACAATGGAAACCTCTAAACTGTTACCCTCTGTTCAATGTGGCCATTATCTTGCCATATAGAAATCGGCAAACGCAACTTAGCATTTTAATGAATTACATTCATCCTTTCCTGCAATCTCAGAATCTTGATTATAGAATATTTGTGATAGAACAGACTCAAATGCGCGAGTTCAATCGTGCTAAACTGTTCAATGTTGGATATGCAGAAGCAACCAAAGTGAATGACTTTCACTGCTTCATATTTCAAGACATAGATTTAATACCTCAGAATCCTGACAATATTTATGCCTGTACCAAAATGCCCAGACATATGAGTTCAAGTGTGAATACATTCCGTTACAATTTACCATATACCGGTTTGTTTGGAGGTGCAATTGCAGTAACACGCAAACAATTTGAAAGAGTTAATGGATTCTCTAATGTTTTCTATGGGTGGGGTGGAGAAGATGATGATTTTTATAGCCGTTTACAATCCAGAGGTTTTCAGGTGTGTAAGTCACTATATTACATTAATCAAAGTACTACGAAAAATTATATAATTATGTTTTGTTTGGATGAAACTTCAGGTCATACGTTTTGGACCTGATATTGCTCAGTATTATATGTTAACACACAAGAAAGAATCACCAAGTAGTGCTAGATTTGAAAATCTTGAGAACAGTGCTAGAAGATATGATACTGATGGAATTAACAATTTGGAATATAGAGTATTGAATCATCAATTAAGGCCACTATACTCTTGGATTTTAGCAGATGTATAGTTTTGGTATGTTTTTCTTTACCAACAAGTATGACTGTTTAAAAATGTTTGCTGCAATTTAATTTTGTGGTAATAAAGCTCTGTTAGTTTAGTCCTATTCCTCAGAGAATAAACTCATATTTAATACTCTTTATTAAACCAAAAATATTGCCATAATATGTTTATAAAATATTCAATTGTGGAATTTTGCAATTGAAAAGACATACCACTGATAAGGACAATTTTTTATTGTTCATGCAGTATGTTATTAAAATTAGGTTTAGACGCAAAATTTTTATTAATTTGCGTTTCAATATTAATAGTGTATTAAATGAAGCGATTTAAAGGTTATACATGTAGCAAACATATTTCCTAATTATGTTCCTGTTTGGATTACTGTGGTACATCACAAGCCAGTTTTGTAAGCAAGTGCAGATTTAATAGTACAAAACTTCTTTATACAAATAGATTGTAGTTTGTACCTCTAGTAATGTCAACAAATCAAAGTATTAGTGTAGCCATGTGAATCTTTTTCTAATGCATTATTATTAACTTACCTGTTTAATATCGAACAATATTTTTAAATATTATATTTATATTGACTGAAAAAGAACAAGTATATTATCGTAATCATAGGAATATCTATTACTTCTAATATTGAAATCGCAGGAAAAATATGAATTAATTCTGTTCGAATAAGTTTGAATAATATTAGGCGCCAAACGTAATCGAAAGAATCGATATATTTCGAATAGTTTTCGAGTTAATAGCATCAGTCTTAACTGATTTTTTTAGTACTCGTCATGTGATAAATGTATATCGAGATGTAAAGATTTAAAGCTTATATTGTGCGCGATTGAAAAAAACATTATTTCGAAATAAATAAAACTTAAAAGTTCAAATTTTAAATCATCGAAAATATTTCACTTATACATATGTAAGTACAAGTGACTCGATAGAAATTAGTGTACGTACTAAGACCTCAAAAAAGAAACATAAAAACAAAATGTAAATCCTTTTAGAAGAAACAGTGTGTAAATTTACTCGAGACGTTTGAAATCACATATCCCCGGTATATTTATTTCCGAACATTAAAAACCATATAGATTATCTATCATAAATATTCGAAGTGAATGACTTTTTTTTTCTATTTTTAATAGTAAATTATGTTTTTGTAGTCAAGTATCCTACCCTAAGAAAAACGTACTATTTTAAAAAATAAAAAAATAAAATGCAAAAATGTTTCGATATCATAAAGATGAACACGAGAGTATTGCAAGCAATAACGCCGCGTGTACTTTTATTATTATCTTTTAACCTATCACTTATTACATGGGTTTTTGCATGTGTACTTAAAAAAATAACGATAAAGTGTACGAATGACTGTAGAAATGTGTATGTATAGCGAAGAATGTGATCTCCAAAAATACAGCATAAATCATAATAAAAAGAAAAATCGACGTATATATGTATGAGTATAAATATAACTATCTTTCTATATATATGTATATGTACGCGAAATCTGACATAATTACATTATAAAGAAATTATGAAATTTAATGGAAATCGGTACAAGATAATAAATATACGAAAAACCAGTGATGTTTAATTGCACTGGGTTATAAGTATGTGGATTGATTTTTCTCAAAGAAGCATCATGAAATTCAAATGAAATAATACAAATCAGGAATTTAAAACACGTGTAATTCTGAATTTTAAAATATTGCATTATTTCGTAATGCTTCAATATACTTCCTTTTCGAATGATCAAAAGTACTGTATTGTGCACAAACTGTTAGACAAGAATTGCTTAGTGCAATAATTTTTGAACTAATTCTTTACTGATATTTGTGATGCATTCTCGGGTACTTTCATCAACTTTCACAGAAAAGAAATATATATATAATTTTTGTTACATGAACGAACGAACACATTATTCCATATCACTGTTCTGGTTTAATTCTTACACGGATAAAATTTTAAAGTAGCACAACGCATTAAGTTGAATGGAAAAAAACAGTGTGTGCAATATCGTTAATTTATATACCCTAAGAAAAATCTAATATATTGAAAGTTTAAAGAAAAGCGATAAAAAAAAAATCATGTATATTCCCAAGAATGGATTATCACCCTTGAAATTACCAGTATGCAACCTGCACATTATTCGGGTAATACGCGTACATACCTATTCATCTATGGAAAATTGGGTACAAGTACTTCTTTATATATAAAATCTATTTTCAACGATACTCAATGTATTATGTATCGGACAGTTCTTGATAACGCGCGTACATCATTTTCTTTACGCAATCCTTGTACGTGTCCCCCGGTAACGCACTATACGACGATGATTTCGCCCCCAAACCCGCTGTAGGAACTCTTCTTTCTGCCTCGATGATACTCGTCCTACCTTGGTTCGATTTACCAAGCCCCATTCCTTCACTCCACCCCATTTTTTGTAAAAGTTTGTTACCAACGTTATCCGAACCAATGCCGGCTCTTGTGGGTTCTTCGTACGATACTGATATCTCCTCTACTCTGGTCTTTAAGTATTTCTCTTTAAGTTTATTTGGCTGTGGAGGTTCTGGCTCGCCATATTTCGCCCTCCTTTCTTTGGCGCGATCCCGGTATTTGTTATTTCTTTGCTGTGGATCGTTTGGGTCTAGACCACGCACTTGATACCAATTTTCCAAATTTTGCTTATGAAGGTCAGATAATTGTTGATGTCGAAGCAACGCTTCTTTGCTTGGAAATTGTCGTTTACACAATAAGCATGCCAACTTGCTCCAATCTGTATGTTGTCTTTCTTCTTGTTGTACGTCTTCTATTTCTTCTTCCGTATCACTACCGCCGCCATAAGCAGCAACCAAGCCATTATTTCCGCTCTGGTCTTCATCCTCATGATAAGAGTTTGCGAGAGATTTCTTTTCCAATATTGCGTATCCTGCGTCCGCAGCTCCACTTCCGACACCTTGATTACCATCACCACCAGCAAATTCGGAATTCCAATTGCTCTTGGCGTTTTCTTTCTTTTGATTCAAAGTTTTTGCCCAACGTTCCATATCTTTTGCTATTTTTTTCGCTACTTTCACCTTATCTTGTTTACTGTCCTTCTTTTTACTTTCGTCGTCCTTCGAGACTTCCTGAGCTGCGATGGTAACCGACGAAGTTGTTGCTTGATTCGTAACCGTATTCGTCGAATCGGTGCTACTAGCTGTAGCAGTTATTGTAGTCCCGCTAGATGTTGTACCGGTCGCTTGTGTTACGGTTGTAGCAGTCTGCACATACAAAGCAAACGTAACAAAATTTTTTCAATACTTAACGACCATTTAATAAAACAAGAGTACAGAAATTTTAAATACCTTCGCTGGTTGATATGAGAAAGATTCGGCATCCCAGTAAAGGAATTGTTGCGTATGACTATTATAATAATATTGCGAATTAGGGTCGTAATACAATCCCGTGCTCGGATCGTAATAGTAGCCCGATGATTCATCATAATGATAAGTGCTAACATCTGGCACAGCTGTAAAAATAATAACGATATAAAATCGTTTCATAACTAGATCAATGAAAATTTCATTATGGTCTAAAAACTTACAATATACTTTACCGTCGCTACCGTGTGCAGGTACTCTTCCACTAGCCAACGTGGTACTAGTTGGAGCTGTTGGTGTTGGTCTATTTTTCATTTCCTCAGAATCCCCTAATTTCCTTGACGCTTGTAATTGCTGTATGGCAGATTGTGCTACAGCCGCGGCTGCATTCACTCTATCAGTCTGGTTCAAAGATGGCAAAGTGATCGCGGACCCCTGCATTATTTGATTCTGATAATATTGTGTGTAATACTGAAGGTAGTGAGCTTTCTGTGCAGGTGTCTTAGCGTATAAGTTGGCACTATACTCTGCCAATTGAGCAACATCGTCTAAAGTATATCTTTGCGGCTGGTTGTCATTCGCTTTCCACGTGTTGGTATTATTTATTTGATGAAGCTTGCAATAGGTGATCTCAACTTTTCTACCATCCACCACCAATTCTTGTTTCGTGAGGGCGGTGTGTAAATACATGGCGTCCACTACGTTGCCCATTTCCAAGTAACACACGCCTCTTGATGTGTTTGTAAGTGAATCGCGACCAATACGGATACTACGTATCGGCATTGATGAGAGATTCTTCATTGCTTGCAAGACCGAATCTTCGGTTGTCAATACGTCCAATCCTCGAAGAAGAACGGTGTTTGTAGGATGAGGACTGATTTCATCGCTACCTTCTCCGCCTTCTTCACTCTCTGCTCGAGAGGCGGAACACTTGAAGCATGTTTCACGCCTCTTGAAATTATGCGCGCCACACTACAACGAAAGATGAACCACATTGCAACATTTCGATGAATTAGACCGATACTAAAGGATACTATAAATAGACCCACCTTAACACAGTGCCAATCTTGTGTGTTTTTTGCTGGTGGTTTATCTACATGGCAATCTTTTGGTATACTGTACTGCATCAAGGCACGGTACTGGTCCTGCAGCATCAGTACTCCCTGAAACAGAGAATTTCAGTGTTATCCCGTCCAACATCCTCCCAAAGCAGCTGTTTATCCCGTAAACTTCCTTCTTGGTTGACGAAATTATAGTTTTTTTTCTACTTCATAGCTTTCCGTCTCGAACGAACAGTAAAGAAAATGTCGTGGGCTTATAACGTGGGCCATTCCACACGGCTTGCGGACCGACTATATAAATATATATATATATATGTACATGCGCGAAAATATATATTTTTTTTTCCTTCGATTAAAAGAATCGAATTCGTGGTTAAACAAGCAAACATACAATGATTTGCTTGCATACAAATTTGTACTGTGAAATATAAGAAAGAAGTCGTGCATAAAAATTGTCATTCGTTTTTAAAATGCTTGGTCAATGAACAATTGCATCTGAGAGAACAAAGTTTTTAAAAATGAATAGAAGCAGACTTAAAAAACGATAACAGTAAAAAAGCATTTTATAATTAAATATATGAACGTAGCAAAATGTGATTTATATAAACAAATAAAAGTTCTCATGCCGGATATATAATATATACTGTATGCATTGTACGTAGAAGATAAGACGATTGGAATGACCCCTCCTCCGA